CATCGGGGGCAACAGGGAGGCTGTGAGAATATCCCTGAACTCTGCTTGACAACTCAGAGGGTAGGAGAGATGAAGATATGGCATCGTTGCAAGAGGAAGGCTGACAGTGTGGCAAGAGAGTGGAGAAATGGAAGGTGCCATGCCTCTGGTCAAGGCTGGTCACACGTGTGACTTGAATCTAAGCTGGGAAGACTACCTGCCCTGAGCAGAATCAAACTTCCTGGTGGAGAATGTTCATGAGAAAGTGTCTGGGAAAAAAGACCAATGGACCAGAGTCCAAGCTGCTGGTACCCTCTGGTTGCTTTCAAATCTACTTTCCTGGAAATAGCTATTCCAGGAAGAACACCTCATTCAAACGTGAGAAGCAACAATGTAGAACAAAACAAAATGAAACAAAAGAAGTGTAGGACTTAAGGAAAAATATTTCAAGAAAAAAACGAGAAAAATAATACGCAGAGATAAACCATGAGAGACTTTTAAGCCTAGGAAACAAACTGAGGGTTGCTGGAGGGGAAGTGGGTGGGCGGATGGGGTAACTGGGTGATGGGCATTAAGGAGGGCACTTGATGTGAGGAGCACTGGGTGTTATATACAAGTGGTGAATAACTGAACATCTGATGAATAACTACATCTGAAACTAATGATGTACTATATGTTGGCTAATTGAATTTAAATAAAAAAAGACAAAGATGCACATTGGCATTATTGAAATGATTAAAATTTTTCAATAAGTAGTTCTCCATGAAATGAGATAAATTAATTACATCTTCTCTAAAACGAGAGTTCATTGAAAGGCTCAAAGAAGTAATAATAACAGAAGAAGATTAAGTATGACCTTTGCAGATCTCAGAAGCTATTTGTATAAAATAGGAATTATTAGTTCCAGAAGATTTGTTAAAACTTATCCATAAAACTTCTTAACAACATGGCGCCTTTCTGTCATGTGGCAGAAGCTTTGTTTTTGTTTGCCACCTGATCCATTCTGATTGTCCAGGATTTCTTGCACTAATTATAAGAACTACTTTGGCTGCCTCTCCTATCTTTTGATATATACTGATTCTGGTGTTACTCACTTAGTGCTATATATTTCATAATTTTCATAGTCATTTCTTATTTAACTCATGGATTATTTAGCAGGTGAGGATTTTTAAAAAGACAGATGCATTGAGAATTTTTTCAATTTCTTTTTATTTCTGATTTCTAAATGTATTTTATCATGCTTAGATAATGGGGCCCATGTCATACTGGATTCTTTGCTGTTAAGGATATTTTTATGGCCTATATGGATATTCTTTCTCATGCTCTTTGTGTGCTTCGGTGGTGGGGGGATATGGAGATTGGTGGCATGCATCTCTCTCTCTCTCTCTCTCTCTCTCTCTGTCTGTCCCTTTCTTTCTCTCTTTCTTTCTCTCTCCACCTTCCCCTCTCCCTTTCTTTCCCAGCCTTCAGGAAGTCTAGTTAGAAGTTACACCTGGCTTTAGCTGTGATATAAAGAAGGAGAAGGGCCAGCCCTGTGATTTGGAAGCAGCAGGAGAGCAATCTGAGGGTACAGTTACCCTCAGAGGTGATGGTCCCCACCAGGCAAGGCTTGCACCAACGTCATATGGCACAGGGGTGGCTGTGGAGTGGGTGGCAGGACAGCAGGTAGGAGCAGAGAAAGATGAGTCAATGGTCCCTGGGTCCTGGGGCAGACCTTTGGCCAACTTCCAGAAGAAGTGGGGCCACACATTTGAGAGGGACAGATTTCTGTCCAGTTAGGTTAGGAAGGGCCTAGGGTACACTAGTTTAAGAATCAAACAAGAATGTGACCTGATTTTGTAGTTACAGGATGAAGCTCTCTTTCTGTAAGCAAGAGACAAGCCCTCTGTAGCTGTGCCGATTGTGAACTGCTTGACTTGCTTGTCCCCTCTGTGGGTCTTGAGCAAGCCTGCCCCATTTCAGCACAAGGGGACAACTTATTCTGTGTTGGGTTTTTTTTTTTTTCTTGCTTTGCTCCCCTTGCCCTTTTTGGGGGGTAGGAGGAGATTTTGTTTTTCTTTTTTTGCTCCCTGGAAGCAGAAGCAAATGTCCTGAGGTATGTTTTATTTTTTAAAAACATTAGGGCCGAACTTTGCCATAAAATTGGCCCTGGAATCAACAGATTTTTAAAAAAATAAGTTGACATTGACCTAACATCCTTTTCTTAATTAAAAAAAAAAAAATTCCCATGTAGCTGCGCCTGGGTGGCTCAGTCAGTTAAGCATCTGCTTTTAGCTCGGGTCATGATCCCAGGGTCCTGGGATGGAGCCCCACTTCGGGCTCCCTGCTCCGCAAGGAGCCTGCTTCTCCCTCTCCCTCTGCCTGCTGATCCCCCTGCTTGTGCTCTCTGTCTGTCAAATAAATAAAATCTTCTTTAAAAATTCCCATTTAGTTGAGTATATAAAAGAAAAATCTTAGCACAAGTGTTACCAGCACCTTAAACTAGAGACTTGCAGCTTTCCTATTTAGACTGCTGCTCAGCTTTGTCCATCTCAAAACCACTACTGAGAGTGCGAGGACGTGGAGCGAGGGAGGAGAGGGTCTGCAGACACACCCAGGTATCTAGTGTTGAAGATGTTGTGCAGAAATTTTGCACTAGGACCACCTCAAAAATGCCATCCTGTGAGTATACTATTCACATGGTAGTCTATATCGTTTTCTGTAAAAATTCACAGGAATGATATGACAGCCTTCCCACAGATCGATCATTAAATCAATTCTGCCCAATCTTTTGTCTAATTTCTAATGAGTACCATTTTCTGAAGTTGTATCTTACTATATTTTCTTTGAAGATAGAATGCTGATTGATTTTGCTTGTACCAAACTGTAATTGACAATTTGCTGTAAAAGTTATCATGGTTGTCTTTGGTTTTGATTTATGGCTAGATCCAGAATTAATCTTTAGTTCAGAGCTTTACTGCATTTGAACTGAGCTACAGCCCACACCACTGCAGTTTCCTTGGGATGCCTTATTTTAAAGTAAGGTAATCAGGAGCAACCACGTATACATCTAAGTAATGCTGCCACTCTAAAGTATAGTGTGAGAAGACCTTGTGAAAAGCCTGCGAAGAATCTTGAACATGTCTTTCTATTTTCATTGCGATGGCAAAAGTACTTATTATCAGTAAGATTAGGAAGAATAAGGATACCCACAACACTGAAATGCACATCTTGGGAAGGAAGGGGAGCTGCTCAGAGGTAGGGAGGATTCAGGGATGTCTGGTCTGCACACTTTATTTGGTAATATCACAGAGCTTTTACATTTTGAAGCAGCTGCTTTATGTAATTAAGATCAAATGATCACATCAAAATGTCATTGTTGTCAAAATGCCGTGTCAAAATGACCTAGTCAAAATGTCCTCCTGCATGTCAGACTGCTCTGGTTTGGAGACTTCACTATTTTAACCTCGAAATATCACCATATACCTGACAAAGAAAACACTGCCTTAAGTATACCACTTGCTCTTTAGCTTCCCTTCTCATCATTTGCCACTTAATTCACTCCTTGATCCCTAGAAATTTTCCAAGTATCCAGTATAGGTTAACTAATTCTTGACAACAACAACAACGATGATAAAATTAGCAGACCTGAAGCCTGTACCAAATACCAGACACTGTTTTAAGCACTGTACATGCATGAACTCATTTAATCCTGCACAATCCTCATAAGGATTGTCCTAATAAAACCCTGTAGGCTGGGTGGCTTAAACAACAGATATTTTCTCACAGCTCTGGAGGCTGGAAGCCCAAGGTCAAGGTGTCCTCAAGTTTGGTTCCTCTTGCGGCGTCTCTCCTTGGCTCATAGATGGCTGACTCTTGCTGTGTCCCCAAATGACATGTGTCCTCTGTGTGAGCACATCCTTGGTGTCTCTCTCTGTATGTCCTGATCTCCTCTTCTTATATGAATGCCAGTCAAATTGCATTAGGACCCACCCATCTGACCTCATTTAACCTTAATTTCTCTTAATAAAAATAGGAAGCCCTATTCTTATTTTATTTTAAAGGTAAGGAAACTGAGGCAGAAAGAGTTTTGCTTGGTATTTTGCCTAAGATCACAGTTAATAAATAGTGAAACTGAGACTCACACTCTTAAACTCTGACTCCAGAGCCTGGGCTTTCTGCCGCTTTTGAAAGTGTAGTCTACTGTATACTATATTATAATACACACACTCTAAAAAGCAAGTATGGATGATTCCTAGCCTATCTTACCCTGTCGTGTCCCATCTTATGTACACACTAGCTCATTCTTGGTCATTGACAATAGCTAAGCCTAATAAGTGTAGGCAAATTCCATTCTTCAGATTATTGGTAACACTATGGGTTATTTTGAGAGATTGGTATTATGGACTAAACTGTGTCCCCTCTCCTCTCTGAATTATCATGTCAAAGCCTTGACCTGTAGTCCCTTAGAATGTGACCATATTTGGAGATAGGGACTTTAAAGGAGAAATTAAGGTTAAATGAGGTCAGATGGGTGGGTCCTAATGCAATCTGACTGGCATTCATATAAGAAGAGGAGATCAGGACATACAGAGAGAGACACCAAGGATGTGCTCACACAGAGGACACATGTCATTTGGGGACACAGCAAGAGTCAGCCATCTATGAGCCAAGGAGAGACGCCGCAAGAGGAACCAAACTTGAGGACACCTTGACCTTGGGCTTCCAGCCTCCAGAGCTGTGAGAAAGTATCTGTTGTTTAAGCCACCCAGCCTACAGGGTTTTGTTAGGACAGCCTGAGCAGACAAATATGATTGGAAAACCCTTTTGGGTGTATACAGATCCATATATGAATATCTTATAAAACACATTTTCTAATATTTCAGTTTCAGAGATGCAGCCCATAAAAGTGAGTTTTTCAGGCAACTGGTAAATAAGATTAGTGCTTACTGCCTGATGATTTCGATTGACTGGTATGTGTGAGCATTACCATGTGTGTATTGTCTGTAAAAAATTCTAACAATAACTAGTGTTCTGCTTTCAGGGACCGACTTCCAATATGGGTAGTGGATAATTACATCAGGTGGGTAATATTGATATTTCTGAACAAAAATTATATATAGCTGTTTGAAATAAACCTTGGCCTCATTTTACTTGTGAATCTTGATAGTTGATTTAGTTAATGTTAATATAGTGATTACATAGTTCATGTCAGTTTACATCATCATTCTATTCTAACAAAAATAAAATAAATACAACACTAATCATGTTTTATTTTTTCCAGGGAAGCATCAAATGTAATTGGACCTAGATTGGTATGCCCTATAAAATTTCATTTGGTGACAGCTAAGTATATTAGGTTTTTCTACTAAAACAAGATTTTCTGAGGTACATATGACATCATGTGGCTAAAAATTCCCAGTGAACAAAACATTTTTAGTATGAATAGAATATGTTGATATCTAAGGCAAAATGCAAATGAGAAACACATCATATTTGGAAATAGTGCTTCTTATTAGTACTTAAATATATCTTCAATTAAATTAATATCAAATGTTTTTACTTGCTAAAAAGTTAAAAAATCTTCTTTTCATATCAAAAATGTCTGTATCTTTAAGTAATAAAGACAATCATCTACCTTATCACACCAAGAGACCACTTAGTATTACATAGGCTAACGTATTTAAATTCTAAATAAGTGATCTAAGTGAGACTTCTCTTATTAAAACTTCAGGTGAAATCTGTTATAAACAAAAAATCTTTATTTTTGGTTCCAAATTAGGTATTTCTTTATTTCTCCATTACCATTAGTTTCATTTTTAACATACCAAAGTTGGTAATAAAAAGCTAATACCAGGACACCTGGGTGGCTCAGATGGTTAAATGTCCGCCTTCGGCTCAGGTCATGATCCCAGGGTCCTGGAATCAAGTCCCACGTTGGGCTCCCTGCTCAGTGGGAAGTCTGCTTCTTCCTCTGCCTCTGCCTCTCTCTCTCTTTCTCTGTCTCTCATGAATAAATAAAATCTTAAAAAAAAAAACTAATACCTAGAAGAATGAATTAGTTGAGCTACTTTGAAGGGGAATTTGGTAATATTTTAATAACTATAAATTCTTATACTCTTTGACCCAGAAAGTTCTACTCATCCTTGCATATACCCCAACATGTTTTCAAAAAATACATGCACAACAACGTCCAATGCAATATTATTTCTAGTAGTAAAAAGGCCATCAATATGGACTATGAAAACAGAATATAACTTCCAGAGAAGACATATATAGATGGCCAACAGACACATGGAAAGATGTTCAGCATCACTCATCATCAGGGAAATGCAAATCACAACCACAATGAGATAGCACCTCACCCCTATCAGAATGGCTAAAATCAAAAACACAAGAAACAACAAGTTTTGGTGAGGACTGTTAGTGGGAATGCAAACTGGTGCAACCACTGTGGAAGACAGTATGAAAGTTCCTCGAAAAGTTAAAAATAAAACAGCCCTGTGATCCAGTAATCACACTACTGGATATTTACCCAAAGGATACAAAACACTGATTCAAAGGGAAACATGCATCCCTAGGTTTATAACAGCATTATTTACAATAGCCAAATTATGGAAACAGCCCAAGTTTCCATCGATAGATGAATAGATAAAGAAGATGTGGGATATATATACAATGGAATATTACTCAGCCATAAAAAAAGAACAAAATCTTGCCGTTTGCAACAACATGGATGGATCTAGAGGGTGTAATATTGAGTGAAATAAGCCAGTCAGAGAAAGACAAATACCATATTATTTCACTCATATGTGGAATTTAAGAAACAAAACAAATGAACAAAAAAGAGAAACCAAAAACTAGACTCTTAGCTGTAGAGAACAAACAGATGGGTACCAGAGGGGAGGTGGGTGGGGGAATGGGTGAAATAGGTGATGGGGAGTAAGAGTATACTTGATGAGCACAGAGTAATATATGGAAGTGTTGAATCACTATATTGTATATTTGAAATGAACATAACACTGTATGTTAACTACACTGGAATTAAAATTTTTTTAAAAATTAAAAAAATAAATTAGAGTCTAACTAAATGGAGGAATACTATGTAATTACCAAAAATTAGAATAAAGAATTAAGAATATTGTTGGGGTTAATGTAGAGCATGAAATCAGCCATAATACCTGGCTTGCTAAAATGTTACACAGAGGCCCCTGGGGGCAGTGGAGGGTTTCGGAGAAGACCGTAGACCTTTGGAATGCCGGGGTCCGTCTGACCACTCCTGCCGTAGGAATGCCGCCACAGGGAGTTGTCTTCCCGAAGCTTTCTTGGCCGGAACAGCTGCCCTGTGATCTAAGAGACGTATGCATTGTCCCTTAGGCTATGTTTAGCAGAACTCGAAGAACACGCAGATTAGCATATTGTATCTTTCCTATAAAAAGATCCTCCTAGTTTCAGTAAGACCCCTTGTCACATATCACGTGCTTGAGAAACAGTGATAAGGATTTGTGATTATCCTGAAGGACTAAAAAAGTGGGAGCAAAGAAGAGCAAAAGGTCTTCGTCTCTGAGCGTTGACCCCCTTGCCTTCTCCTCTCTTTCATGGCAAAGTTTGGAGTCATCTTTCATCCCTCAGAACAGGGATTGCTGGCCATTCCTGGCAAGGGATATTATGTAACTGTCAAAAAATTAGGTGGGATTTTGGAAATATTCCAAAGAGCAAGGGGAAAGAACATAATGCAAAACACTTTGTATACATTGATTCTTTTTATATAAATTCTTAAAATCAACATTCCATGTAAATATACACAATGCTAGAAAATGCAAAAGATTTTGTTTGTCTGCTTTTTCTGAAACTGACCGGGAGACTTTAATAGGAAATCCTTTAGAAGAGCAGGACTAAAGGCAAATAGGAAGGAGGCTTTCTGTCTTTACACTGTGCCTTCCTGTTGTCTATGAATTTCTCACAATGTTCATAAGTTGTATACAATTAGTGAGCTAGTGGGCCATTGTATATATTTTCTTTTAGACACATTTTTATGTTGGAAAAAAAACATACAGTAGAACTTAAATGTTCTTAATTTTTTTTAAAAAAAGGTAATATGTGAAGTGATGAATGTGTTAACTTGTTGGGGGAAATGCTTTCACCATGTACACAAATATCAATCCTCATGTTGTATACTTCAAATACCTTATAATTTTATTTGTCAAATTATACCTCAGTAAAGCTGAAAAAAGAAAAAAAAACACTTAATATTTTAACGTATAGTTTACAATGAAAAGATTCCTCCTGTCCTTTTCAAAATCATATTCAAAATGTTCCGTTTGCTACTTTCAAATTGACAGTTGTAGCATTCCCTACCAATGTCAATGGACTTTACTCTTTCTGGACACTAGAGGGAGTTTGGAAATGAGATGAAATACATCAAAAACCAAAATGGCTCATAAAATTCTATGGCTGGGTTTCCTTACTCCCGTTCAGAACCTCTATAGAACTAAGGCATTTCAACAACAATGGTTGACTCTACAGATATATTCCTAAGAGCTTGTGTGTAAACTGAATAATACTTTAAGTTCTCCTGGAGAGATTGCAATTGAGAAGAGTCCTACTGTGAATAGTCTTGTAAAAAAAAAAAAAAAGAAAAACAAGCTTTTCAAAAACAGATTATCACTGCCAGTTTATCATTAGATGCCAAGAGTCTTGTATTTTATTATCTTCTTTACCAGCAGATATTGTAAACCTGAGGTGTGATTATATTGGTACAACCAGTTTTGCAAGCCTTAGAAGGTACAGGTACTCAGTAAATATTTAATCATCTAATTCTCCCAGGATAATAGAATAAGTAGCTGCTATTGTCTGGGTTTTTTCCCTACTAGCCTAATTTAAATGACCCGCGCGTCTGAGTCCTTCTAGACAACTCTCTGTCTTCATTTGTTCACACAGTTTGAGTGTTTACTACATTCCAGACAGAGTAACATTGCCAGTGGTAAAGAATATAAAGATTCTGACCTCAAAATTTTTTCAATCTAATGGGAACAGACCAGAACCAAATAAGCAAATAGATAAGAGATATAGGATATCGTTAGAACATGTGATCATGATAGGCAAAAATTCAGTATCCTATGGTGAACATTACTAATGCGTACCTGGTTCTCCTGTACTTCTGGGTATATGTAGGTTGTACTTCTCTATGGCCCCGGAGTCATGCATGGCCATCTGATGAATTCTGGCTAGTAAGATGTGGGTAGAAGGGTTATGTGACTACCTGGCTGCAGTTTTGGATTGCTAGCCTGTGACTCTCCAGTTCTTTCTTCTTCTGCTGTGGCAAATCAGGAAAGCACATCAAGAGCTGTATCATGAGACATATAGAAGGAGGCTGGGATGCTGAGCCACTACCTAGAATGTGGTTTCACTGAAAAATTGCCAGGATCTTATCTGGAAAGTTTTTGTGAGTAAAAAAATAAATAAAATAAAATAAATAAATAACGTTGGCTTAAAGCCAATATAGATTTGGAGTTGTTTGTTACCATAGCAGAGCCAAACTTGTCCTGACTGAAGAGAGGGGCGAGGGAGTGTCCCTCGGTCAGGATGGTCAAGGAAGGGCTCTCTGACAGAGTGGCAATAACAATACAGTTACTGTTTTTTTTGAGGTGAAGTTGTCAAGGACAGGTAGCCATGGAGAGGAATGGTTTTTGAATATTGCCCAGTGAACCCACTGCTTCAGAATCATTAGAGGGCACTTGTCAAATGCATAGATACCTTGACCTTGCCCCAACTTGTTGAATTAGAACCTCTGGCGGGGCAGGGGGAAGGTGGTGTTGGGATTCTCTAATTTTAATGAGCTCCCCAGGTTATTTTGATACACAGCCAGCTCTTGGGACCATTGATTTCAGCTTCAAGCCCTGACTGTTCACCTTTCTGACATGTATGTTGTGGTATCTAAAATTTTAAGTTGTATACCTCTCAATCTTTTCCTTACTCTGACAAGGGGGAAAATAAAGGGAAGACCACATTTTGATTCTCATCAAAATAACTTTAGGGGCGCCTGGATGGCTCAGTCGGTTAAGCATCTGCTTTCAGCTCAGGTCGTGATTCCAGGGTCCTGGGACGGAGCCCCACGTCGGGCTCCCTGCTCAGTGGGGAGTCTGCTTCTCCTTCTGCCCCTGCCCCAGCTCATGCTTTCTCACTCGCTCACACTTTTTCTCTCTCAAAAAAATAAATAAAACCTTAAAAAATAACTTTCTTTTCTTTCTATAGTTCTGACAAAATAAGATCCCATATGCATCTGTCTCAGTTTTATAGCATCTTCCTGAAGTCTTCACATCATAACAATATCAGAGACAGATATTCTTTTGTTTGACTTATACAGACAGAATCAAATTGTAACTTAAAGAATGTTATTTTGAGAAAGAGAAACATCAAGGTAGTCCAGAATGGTTTTGCTGTTTGAATTTTAAAACAATTGAGACCATTTTTGAGTGCTTATTATGTACATACAATCACACTGTGAGGTAATATGTTCTTAATGACATTTTGTTTTCAGAAAAATGTTGGTACTTTAAATTTTTGTTTTTTTCCTTTTGATGATATCTTTTAAAAAATTTATAATTTTAATAACTACATCTTTGGGGTAAATTAAATAAATTAACTGAGGAGCTTGGCTATAAAATGACTGATTCTTAGGTAATTATGAATTTAGAGCCTTCATTCTAGTTTTTTGTTTATGTATATAGAAACTTAATGATTGAATATGCATTCAAGTCTCTAAATTTGGGACTAAAAAGGGAAAGAAAGCTGGTACGGGGGTTGGGGAGGAGCACTTATCATAGACAATTACTTTGTAAGACTGCCTGTATTTGATGTTTTGATCTATGCTTTTCAAAGCCAAACATAAGGTGCATATCAAACCTAACCTCTTTGTAATACTGTATAAAGATAGATTTTCAATTAAAGTGGGGAGAGAAGATACACAAGGCAGACTGATCACCTATGTTTATCTTTGCTCTATCACAGAACCCACTTCAATAACAGTAAAGGATATAAGGCATACAATTTTGTGCCTTTATATGAAGGCAAGAGGACTAGATTGGCACAAATAATAGAAGAGAAGCTGACGGCAGTAAATCCCGTCTCTAAACACCACAAGGATACTATGTATGCGTACGTGTGCCAATGAGCTATGGTGATAGTGGAAAAAAGACCAGTTCCTCAGCACCACAGCCCTACCACCCACTAACCCCAACATTTTTCCATACGAAACACAGAGTGAGTGAATAAGTGAATACTTCTACAAAATTTCAGAGGGGCTCTAGATGACAAAACAGTGTCACTAGATTTCTAAGTCTGCTGTTTATTTCAAGTGCCAGATAACTGAAGTAAAATAAGTGGATAAATATTCTATGTTGGTGTATTTCCCTGGTCGAGAGCCTGGGGGAAGAATCTAAATGGTAATTTGGAGCAGACCTCTTGCTGACAATTAAATTCCATCTGGTCTTTGGGTTAAACAACATTTATTCAATTATTATTATTGTCACATTTACCACCAGAGGGAGCCCATATATCCCCTTCAACTAGAGACCAACAGGCTCCAAAGTAACAATGCTTTTTCTTCTGATTTTGGTATTAAAATATATTATGTAATTTTGCCTGGAATAAATGTTGGAATGTTTATTTAGATTTATGCTATTGTAGTTGTCTCTGAAAGCAGCACAGAAACTTTAATCAAAAACACATTCATTCTCCAATTTGTTACTTCCTCAAAACCTCTCCCAAATTGGAAATAAGCAAAAACTCATGGGAGAATTACATTTTCCACATGTACCTTCTAGAACCCTAAAATTAACCCTAAAATTAATTATCTTTGTACATGCTCTGATTTAAATTTTATTATATTTTCCTAATGAATCATCACATCAGAATTTTTTTAAGCTCTGTGAGTCAAAGTATAGAGGAAGGATCTTTGAAGAAAAATGATTGGCTGGTTGGTGACTGGTAAGTCATTCAAAGGAAACAGGCATTAGCTAATCAATAGGTATAAGGTTTCAGTAATACAAAATGAATAAGTTCTAGAGATCTGCCATTAAACATTGTTCCCACAATTAAGAACATACATTATATACTTAAAAATCTATTAACAGGGCAGGGTTGACTGGCTGGCTCAGTTGAGCATCTCGCTTTTGATCTCTGGGTTGTCACTTTGAGCCCCATGTTAGGTGTAGAGATTACTTTAAAAAAAAAGAAAGAAAGAAAGAAAGAAAAAGTAAAAGTCTGTTGAAAGGGTAGATCTCAGATAAGTGTTTTTATCACGATAAAAATTAAAAATAAATTTTAAGTCTTACATATCCCAAACTGAAGTCACTATCTGTCCTGACATCAATAAATCTGCCTTTGATGCTCATAATCATTAATATGAAGTATAAACAAGCAGAGAAAATGTCTTAGGACTTTATTCACCAAATGATTTAATCCATAACTAATAAAACAATGTCCATCTTTTTTGTGGGAAAGTAAATGATCTCTGAAAGTAAACTAAAGTTAAGTCCTGGAAGATTATATATTAGTTTTCTTTTAGTATCTGCTTCTCAAATGCAAGAATTTCATTTATTTATGTCTTTAACTGCCAGTAGCAAAGATTTGCCCTTTAGGAAACAGACCCATTTTGATATTTTTGAAAACTCAGTAAGTCTATTGTATCTGTAAATATTTGAATACTACAAATGTCTGGTGCTGAGGAGAAGGATACACTATTTCATTATTTACTCCATTTTATAGAACTGTGACCATGGCAACCAGGTGCTATAAACTGACGCCAATGGAGGCCACACTTACCACTTTTATCTAAATTGCTACTGGAAGCACACAAGCTTTACAGATCTATTGAATTGCATTAGATTATGGGCATTTTGGGAGGAGTTCAAATGGGAGAAATGCTTTGTTTTTATCCAAGGAAGTAGAATTGTTATTTTGTACTGTTTCCTGGAGGTAATATTCATATACAACTTAAGGATTTAAGGAAACAAAGGAAGGAAACTGACAGATGCATAAAATAGACAGATCCCATATGCTTATCTCTGCTCCACCCCAGAACCCTTTTCAATAACAATAAAGGAATATAAGATAGACAATCTTGAGCCTTTTATACAAGACAAGAGAGCAGAAGGATGACAGCAGGGCAGATTGTCAACAGAATTTTGAAGGTTGGAAAATAGATAGATGAGTCACAACTGATTTAGCAGAGCAGAAATGCTAAAATCTAACCGTCTATTGTGGCGAGGAGGGAATGACAACAATAGGCAGGCTGATTCATGCTAGAATCCTCAAAGGCACAGTGACTGAAGGGACTAAAATCTTCCAAATGAAGTCTGGGATATGAGTGGAGCCGAAAACAGTGTGGTGGCGGATTGAGCATTCGCATCCCCCAATTTACAACCCAGACACTGAGTTAGGTACCTCACCTGGAAGAACAAGCTGAGGGAGTAATGGGTCACTAGGCTGAAAACAGGGTAATGAATAAAAATCTGAATTCCTAAAAGCCAGACACCCAGCCCCCTGCCCTGCCCAGCTATCAGGTACATACCAACCAGGCTGGATACTGAATGAGTCTTTTTAGGAAATAGGCAAGGTATGCTTATTTCAAATGATCAGCCTCATAATAGTATTAGAGTTTTTAAACTATGTACACATATCACTAGAATATAAAAATAAATTATTAACGTCAGGGAAGAGCTGCTTTGAATCTGTGCCTCTGCAGTGTAGATTATGTATGTGGCATATAGTCAGAAATTGTAATGTGCAACCCACCACTCAGGGATGCAAATCTGACAGCGTGTTGTAGACGTACCCTGTTGCCTCAGAATTAGAAGTAGAGGGACAAAGTGAGGCTCGAAAGGCTAGAAGTAAGGCATCCTAAAAAGACCTGTAAATAAGGAGCACCAGACATTCTCCCCTTCACCAAAATGTAGCCAAAGAGACTCTGCTGCCCCCAACCACGGTCTGATACTTTCTTTCTCTCTATTCCCTTCAGGAGATAAAAGGAGAGGAAATTTGGGGGTGGGATCGCGGAAGAGAAAAGCATGTTTGGAATGCTAAGCCTTGACCCTGCTTAGGGAGAAGTCCACAGCTTTGTGGAGGGGATGATCTCTGCCCTCCCTCCAAGCTAAAAGAGGTTGTACATTAGTTTCCTTCACTGCTGTAACAACCAACCACAAACCTAGTGGTTTAAAACAACACAAATTTATTATCTTACAGTTCTGGAAGTCAGAAGTCTACAGTGCATTTCACGGGGCTGAGATCAGGTCGTTGGCAGGCCTGCATTCCTTTCTGGAGGCTAGAGGGAAAATCTGCTTCCTTGCCTTTTCTAACTTGTAGAGGCTGCCTGCATTCTTTGGTTTGTGGGCCCTTCTAGCTTCAAAGCCAGCAATGGCCAATCAAGTTTTTCTAGCATGACATCACTCTAACAGTGATTGCCTACCTCTCTCTTCCCCATTTAAGGACCCTTGTGATTACATTGGACCCACCTAGATAATCTAGAACAATCTCCTTACCTTAAAGATCAGCTAGTTAACAACCATAAATCCATCCACAATTTTAATCTGCTTGCCTTATAATGTAATGTAATATTCACAGGTGCTATGAATTAGAACACAGATGAATTTGGGCGTTGGGAGGTTGGGAGGTGTTATTCTGTTTACCCCAGAAGGGTTCAAGAAAACCATTCATCAAAATCTGGAGTGCCTATGAGACAGGGTGGCATCATTTCCAAATTGGACATAAGCTTAGACAACTCTGATCTAATCTAAGCTACCAGGGGAGGAGATTCACTGGAGATGAATAGTAAGCTAGAGAAAGGGAACAGCCTGCACTCTATGATTTGGAATGGATAGGATTCTTACTTTCTGTGGGTTAAGCAGAGCTGCAAAGTTTGGGAAAAATCTGTCTGCAAGTCAAGAACCCTCTAGGAAGAGAAAAGAGGCTCACCACAGCTAGATCTCCTGTGCCAGGGAATTTGAGCATTGGGAAACCCCACAGGCTCAGCACCTCCAAACTGATACACACATGTGTCCATTAGAGCCAGTATTTTGCCTATTGCACCAAGGATATCAGGGAAGACACATTGGCCAGAAAGCAATGGCTCTCAACAATAGTGCAGTCACATGGTCAGTTAAGGGGGGAAAGTGTCTGTTTCTCTTCCATCTCATCTTCCCTCACCCCAATTCCAGGAGAGTTAGAACTGGAAAGGGAGGCACAGGTACCTTGAGAAAGTGGACCACATCTCCATTTCTACTCAGGATCTTCTAAGCTCAGGTTAATAGAAGCTGGGATGGAGAAAGGATGAGGAAGTATGAGATGGCAGTTTTCAATTGGTCTAGACCAGACTTTTAAAAAGCTTTTGCTAAAATATAATAAAGCTACTAAAAAGTTCATTTATGTGTATAGATTGCTGAATTTTCACAAACTGAACACAGTGGTGTTACCAACTTCCAGGTCAGAAACAGAGTATTCTCAGCTCCAAGATACCCCCTTCCTCCCTACTAGTCTCTTAGTTTGCTCTCCAAAAAGTAACCAATATTGTGACATCAAACAACATAGATTAGTTTTACTATTTTTGTACTTTATACAAATGGAATCATACAGTTTATTTAGGGTCTGGCTTTTTCCACTCAGTATTATGTGTGTGAGAATCATTCATATTTTTTACAAATATTGTTAGGTCATTAACTGTCATTACTATGAAGTATTCTGTTGTGTGAATATGCCACAGTTTATCAGTTTCATTGTTTATGGGCACATGAATAACTTCCAGTTTGGAGATATCTAAAAGAGTGCTTCAATATATATTTTAGTATATATATTTGGGTGAAAACATGTTTACTTTTGCGGTGGATCTGTACGCTGGACTAGGATGTTTGGGTCATATCTTTGGCTTGGGGATAAGTCATCTGAGTTTTCTAAAGAGCAGTATGTTATCATTCTTGTTCCTCCACATCTTCATTTTACACTTGGTAGTCTCTATTTTATTTATATTCTACTGGGTTAGTAAAAATATTTCAGGGTAGTTTTAATTTGCATTTTCCTGATAAATAAGGAAGTTAAGCAGCTTTGCATATGTTTATTGGCCAATTACATATCCTCTTTTGTGAAGGGTCTGTTTAATCTTTTGTGCATTTTAATTGAGTTTTCTTGCCCTTATCTATTTAGATGAGTTCTTTATATATTCAGCTATGAATCCATATCAATCCCACTGCATATAGTAAATATCTTCTCCCCCCCGTCCATTACTTTTTCACTTTTTTAAATAATATCTTTTAACAAACTTGATCAAGTTCTTAATTTTAAAAGTCCAATTTATTAATATTTTTATGGTTGATATGTTTTATGTCCCATTTAAAAAATCTTTACCACCTCCAGATCCTGAAGTTATTTTAATTAG